CAGACCCTGACAAGCCGCTTGGCACACACTGTGAGGCCAATGAATTGACCTGTAAAAATGGGCGTTGCATACGAATTGACTGGAAGTGCGATGGCGACGATGACTGCGGTGATGGAACTGATGAAACGGAAGAAACGTGCAGTAAGCTTAATATTTCTTTAATTTGTATCTACATTGTACACCATTTAGTATGGTTGATTAGTTAAAAATTTCTGCCTTAAGTAAATTAAAGATTTTCTGTTCTCCTGTTCTGTCTTTGCTTTATGCTTATATTAATTAAAATGAATTTCCCAGAGCTTATTGGCTGAGCAGTTAAAGCAGGGGTGCTGCAACATACAGCCATAATACCGGCGCTTGCACGAATGGCACGCTGGTCTATTGTTTTGGAGGTGGAACAACTCTTTTTTGAATAAGGACTATAAACCATAGGAGCAGTGTACACAATTGGCTCTGATGAACCTAGTACATCTTTCGAGATGAGTAGGGCTTAACCTGTTGTAATGGTCAATCTCCTCTGTCTTTGTGGACTATCGACGGTGCCTTCTTGGCTGTGCATGACACGACAGGATTCTTAGGGGAGAAGTAAGCTGTAAGAATGAGTATGGTAGTCCACATTTGCTCGGGCTGAAGCCTTGCAAATATGAAGATGGCCCTTAATCTAGGGCTCCAGATGGAAACAAATCTTCGATAATTGTACAATGGATTTTTCTCTGACACAAAAAGCATATTTGAAGAGAAACTTGGATACAGATTTTTGAATATTAAAAAACTGGGTGAAAATTATGACAAATATTATTTTGTGTTTATTTGTTCAGTTGCAGCAGCAGTTTTAATTTGAATATTCTTATAAACCGTAATGTAATATTTGACCAAAGTTTTGCTGTGATGTAACAATACCTGGTTTATTTGCTTTTCTAACAGAGGATAAGGAGTGTGCTGTCACTCAATTTATGTGCTCAAATTTTAAATGTATTCCCAAAAAATACATTTGTGATGGTGATGATGATTGCGCCGGCGGATATGATGAGACTGACGAAATATGTAGCAGTAAGTACATAAATGAATTTATAGTACAACCTTCTAAAAGAAAATCAGTTCTATGGTCGGCAAATGATGGGTCACGACCCAAGTTAGGGACGTTGACAAACTTTTTGAAGGTAATCTGGTTGCAGCAGGGTCTTGAAAAAACAATAGAAAAGGGGTTAATAAGTGTTTCAATTAACATTTAAAAAATCAGTAGATTCCATTGAGGATATTAAACTAAATCTTGTTACAAAACAATTTAATTAAATGTTGTGGCTTTTTAAATGTGTTAAATGTCTGGATGTTTTTGCCCGAGGTATAAGTGATATGCTTGATAATACCAAAGATACCAATATTTTTCTATCGATCCGTCCCTGGCTGCCGCCACTAATAATTGTTACTGTGTTTAGTACTTTGCTCTTTTTGTATTTATTTCTTTATTCTTTCAAGCAATCACATGTTCACCAACGGAATTCACATGTGCAAATGACAAGTGCATAGATCCCGTCTGGATATGTGACCGTGAAGATGATTGCGGCGACAACAGCGATGAGGAAAATTGCAAATATGGAACCTGTAATGAGAATGAGTTTTCTTGCACAAATGGACGTTGTATCAACATCAATTGGCGTTGTGACACTGATGACGACTGTGGTGACAACTCAGATGAGGCCGATTGTCGTTACCGTTGTGACAGTAGCACGCAGTTCACTTGCAACTCTCGACAGTGTATTGGCTTAGAATTTGTGTGCAACGGCGTTAATGATTGCAATGATGGTAGTGATGAGACGAATTGCAGTAAGTTTTTAAATTTACTTGTTTAAATTTTTCTATAGTGCTTGCACAAGTAGACAATATTGTTTGTCATCTTGATTTTCCAAAATCTCAACTTTCCACAACCAATCATTGTTTGGGAATATTATGTGAACCACTAAATTACAACATACTGCTGGGATGGACCATCGCAGCTCGACCGCAGCACAGCCGCAGCCAAACCGCTGCCCAACCGCAGAACAACCGCAACCCAACCTATGCCCAACCCCAGCCCAATCCAACCCCAGCCAAATCGCAGCACAACTGATCCAAAATCTTGAAATTCTAAGTTCTACTCAAAACCCTAGAATTTCCAAATATCATCATACTTGAGCAAAACCATTTTTTTTCTCTAATTAAATTGTTATTTATATCTTTATTTAGCATCTGTTCCACCATTTCTATGCGAAAGTAATCAGTTTCATTGCGGCTCAGGAATTTGTATACCTGATACGTTTGTGTGCGATGCAGATGAAGACTGCAATGATGGGTCAGATGAGCTTGATTGTGGTGAGTTTCTTCTTACAATTTGTTTCTAAATAGTGTTTTTAATTTAGGTTGTGAATTTATCTCAGGAAAGCAAGCCAATGATGCAATGAAATACCATCATTACAGGACTTATGGAATCCACTAGTAAATAGCACTAGCTGATGATGATGCAATAATAATGCCTACAGTATTGACATCAAACACAGCATTGTTAAAATATAAGAGCTTCATCAGACTAGTTATGGTCTAATCCACATACAAACAACAACTAAGCCATTTTGCATGCGATCAAAGTATATTGAAAATCTTTGAATGATGCCAAATTGGCATTGTGCCAAATCTAGCTTAAACAAATGTTGTTGTTTTTTCTGGTTTTTTAACTATAAAATGGGTCACTGAAACATTAAAGAGAGTTAATATAGTATGTCATAAATGCCAGCATTTCACAACAGTTACATAATTATACCAATAGGATATGATAGGAACAATTTAAAATTGTACCTATCGCTTAAGTTTTGTTGAGTGCTTGCTTCAGTTTTTGAAATTTAGATGCGCCATAATGTATTTTCCAGAATCGGGAAAATCCAATATCTAAAATTGTTTTTTTTTTTCTGTACTACATATTTTCCAACCATAGACCTATGTGGCATGAAAAAATTGCATTCATTTCGAAAATAATAATAGTAATATCATTCAACTTATAAAGCGCATATTATGGAGATCTCTATGCACTTAACATAAACATGAAAAACGTACCCTTAAACTAACCATTGTTTGGCCGTTGGCTTTGAAGAGCTCATGATATACTTCAGGAGAGTATGTGGAAGTTGTGTTTTTGAGGCCTTCCAGTATTAAGTTCCTATGCTAAAGATAAAATATATCATAATAAATGTTGTTTAAGGGCTAAACATTGTGTATACACTTTCTTGCTTCCAACATTATGATTGGTAACGCTTGGCACTTACTGCGTCTGATGGCCATTGGTTGACGCAATTCTATGGAGAGAAAAAAAACATGATGCCCTTTGCAACTAATCGTTTTTAATGCTGATCCATGCAGACAGCCACCAACAGGAGATGGCATTGTGTTGTCTAGCACTCCCAGGGAACATAGTTGGATTCGTTGGTTGATTGTTTTTAACGGCTGCCGTATGACGCAAGTTTGGTTTTTTTATGTTTCAGGAACCGGTGAATTTACTTGCGAGGAAAAAGAGTATCAATGTGCTAATGGTCAGTGCATCCCCTTGGATTGGAAATGTGACGGTGACCCAGATTGTGAAGATGGTACTGACGAATTAGACACTGTTTGTCGTAAGGAGCCATTTTCAACTTGTAACCTATTTTCTCATTATACCGTAAATGTTTGAATAAGCGCCGCTCTTGAATAAGTGGCCCACCAAACCTGATTATTTTCGCTAAGCACCGCTCCCGAATATGCGCTGTGGTACTAAATCGAGAGTATGTGTGTGTGTGTGTGTAATGAAGCACTTTGAGAAACTGGGTTTTGGATGCATATGCATATAGTGTTAAAATGATTAAATAACACAATGAAGACACAAGCATTTCTTACGATGAACAGCACCTATGATAGGCCTACTGAAATACGGGTATATGTGAGATAGATAACATGGGAAAGGGCATGGAAAGCACCACGCCAATATTTTTTTTATAAGCGCCACTCTCGAAGGGCACCACACTGAGGCTCCAAAAAATTTATTTATGGTACTTTTCAATGGAAATAAAATAATGTATTAATAGTGCAGTCACTCCACTGTACCTATGTTCCGCCCTATGCCTGAATACCAATAATATAACAAGGCGGTTATGGGCAGTTCCATTATTTTTTATGCTTGAAGTTGCCGAATTGTTCAAATTTTTGTACCTTGAACCCTGTACATATGGGTTTCACCCCATAATTTCATCACCACTTCCATAGATCAATTGGAAACGTTTTCGTGCAGTAAGAATTGTTTGGTTTCCCATCCCTCGAGGTCGGGGTTTTAATCTTTCGCTGTGCATTTCTCTTGTGTGCTTGAGCAAGGCACTTTATCTACATTGCTTCAGTCTACCCAGCTATATCAGTGAGTACCAGAAAATTGCTGGGAGTAACTTGCAGTGGACCAGTGTCCCACCCAGAGTTAGTATTACACTCTCATCCCCTTCACGCTACAGAAACTGGGGATAAGCTAAAGTTCTATGAGCCTTAGTGGCTTGGCAAGGATTTACTTTCTATTTCCTGTAGATCAATATGTACCACATTAAATTTTATGATTCATTCATAGTATTTGCATAAATCATGACTATAGTCTAGAATACCTTAGCGAAGGTAAAGACACTGATGAACACATAACCTCTTTGGTAGAAGTAATAAATAGTTATATTATTGTGTTGAAGATTATTTACTCAACATATAGCATATCTTCAATTTTTTTTTTTACTTTTCATTTACTTAAATCTGGTTTTAAGGTTACATACATTTCATCAATTATTTTTAATAGCTGCAACACTCTGTAATAACGGAGGATGGTTGTGCCCGAACCATACCCTCTGTATCCCGTTGAGTAATCTTTGTGACGGTGCCGAACATTGTCCCAGTGGTCACGATGAAGGTTCTGGTTGTGGTAAGTGATCTTTTTATATTCACTAAAAGAAGCAGATTGCTGAGAGTAACCTGGGGTGAATCACCGTCACACCCAGGAGAGCGTTGCACCCAGGGGAGCGTTACACCCTGGGGAGCCTTGCACCTAAGGGATCATCACACTGTCATCCGCTTCACCCTACTGGGGATAAGTTCCAGTCCATACCACCCCCCTCCCCCTTCCCGTAATTCAGCAAGGAAAGACATTTTTGACACATCTGTGTAGTTAAAAGCCCCATTCCCGGCAAAGTTTCACTAAAACATATTTTTTTTTAGAAAAAAATGCATATGCATTATCCTAATTATTATAAATCATGGAAAAATATAGGTATAAATTTTAGTTTTAAGCAAAAAAAAAAAAATAAAAAGAAAGAGAAATACTAACTATTTCTCATACTGTAGGAGATTACCATTTTCTCAACAAATTCTTTGCTACTAGGCAAGTTCAGAGGTTGTAGATCGCATCCGCTGGAATGCTCTTCCTTTTTCTGTATACTTTTTGTACTTTGTACCTTGCACACTGCGGTCGTTCGAGTAGGACTGAGATGTTTGTTTAAGAGTCAAAATCTCGGTCAGAATAATTTTTTAACACATTTGAAATAATCCCTATGAAATATTATGTCTATATATATTGTATATATAGTGTCAATACTAGCAACGGAAAATATCATGTTGGTCGTTTTTATGTGTGATAACAGAACCTAAATCGAGGTAAGGCTAAGCCTAGCCTAGCAGTGTTGGATAGGCTAATGTTTCTGGCGCCTACTATATTTCTTCGCAAACCTATCGCAAAATCAAACATGAAAAATTCATCCGCAATCATTTTTTCATGTTTAGGAATGTCTAAATTCAGGTAAAATAGCAATTTCATATTTTAATATAAATCTTTATAACATGTATAAAAATCAGATTTTTTTTTAAAACTTAAATTTTGGCAGGAATGTGGATTTAATAGTTTTCAAATCAAGAATGTTAATGAATTGGTTTTGTTTTTTTTTACAATTAATTTTCACAGATGTTGATAAATGTACACATCCTAATATGGGTTGTACTGATGGCTGCCAAAATGCTCCAGTTGGTTACTATTGCACATGCCCAGATGGTTCTGTACTTGATAATGATAAGAGCACGTGTATACCAGGTATGATTTTTTTTTTTTTCAACCAAAGTTTCAAGAATTATCTCAGAATAATATAATAGTCTAAGAATAATGGAATATTCTGACTAAAATTGTGGAACAATTTTTTGGTTTTTTGTTGGGGGTTGGGAGGTAGGAGTAGTCATTCTGCTTGAGGGGGAATGCTTGAGAATATTGTATAAGTAGCATGTATACTTTTTGACTGGTTAAAAATAATTTTCAGGGGGCATGTGAATGTATATGTGGCAAAGACAAGCCAAACCAGTCACTAGTTGCAAATTGTGTTTCAGAGAAAATAGCTAGAATGTAAAATTTTTAAAAATCTATTTTATTTCACTAAACTGAGGTTTATGCATCATGCTGTGCTGTTATTTTTCCCAATTTCAATGTTAGAACAACAACAAGATTCTATGATAGTTTCTGCATGAGAAATGCTTGAAATCATAAACTTTGAAGGCTGATTTCTCATATATTGTTCTTTAAACAGCTGTTGCTTAAATGCTTGTAACCTCATAAGGTTTTGATTTGAATTGATTTTTTTACCATTTTTTAACCCTGTATTAATAACTCAAAATCGATTTTTGCGACAAGTGACTGGTTTGGCTTGTCTTTGCCACATATGCTAATTTCAGGGGTAAGATTTCAGGATTCTCAAAGTAATTTGATTTCACTCCAGATATGAACATGTGCGATAAAAAGCGCTGTAGTCAGCAATGTACGAACCTTAAAGGGAACTTCACCTGCAGTTGCTATAAAGGATACCGTATGATGGATGACAGGTGGACATGCAAATCGACTGGTAGGAATAATAAACATGTGTCGTTTATATCCATATTCTATATCTATGTTTTATCCCTTTTCAATGTAACAACATTTTCGGTTACATTTTGAACATTGATGGTCTCAATAATTATTTAAAAAATATTTATTTCTTTTCTGGTAGTTGATTTCGCTCCTCTGTTAGTGTACTCCAATCGACATCAACTTCGTTTCCTCAATATGGAAAGTGAGGAGTACGGTATCTTGGTTACTGGTATGAGAAACACGATTGCTCTGGATTTCTACCAAGCTGAAAACTCTGTGTTTTGGACCGATGTGGTTGACGACAAAATTTACCGTGGATATCTGACAAATGAAACGTTAAATGGTACTCCCTCTAAATTTTCTTATAATGAAGCAATACACTATGCTACAGGTTTCCATACATATTTTCATTACAAGGCCAATGCCATAGTATTACTTTAGGGCTCTGGCAGCATAAGTTCCATATTGATGAGTTATATGAATTTCAGATAAATGCTAATGAATATTCATATTAAATTTGCATGAGGTTGGAGGTCAATACTTTTGAAATATTTTTTTGCACAATCATAAGTGACATGACTTATTATAGGGCATAATGCTAGTGAATAATTATGGTATTAAATTAGCAGTTACAAAAACAATAATAATTTTATTGACAGAGGGGGCAGGACTTATCAACCGTACTGTTGTAGTATCATCTGGGCTGGCCACTGCAGAGGGTCTTGCTGTGGATTGGATTGGTCAGAACCTCTACTGGGTTGACAGTCTATTAGATCAGATTGAAGTTGCCAAGCTGAACGGTTCTCATCGTACAACGGTCATTGCTGGCAACATGGAAAGCCCCAGGGCAATTGCTTTGGATTCAAGAAAGGGGTAAATATACTATAAATTTCTGTCCACACCATAACATTTTCTTTGACAAAATATAATAATGCATAATGTGCCTGTATATGGACATGATGTGATGTCATCATGACCATATTTAGGCATGTCATACGGGAATGTGTACTATACCTGTCTCTTATACACATCTAGATGTGTATAAGAGAATTGTACATTGCAGTCTCGATGTAATTTTTTGTTGCATCGGATCTGTGTGAGTTCAACGCTGAAGCAATAAACCTGCGCCGGGGACAGTCATGTCCTAGACTGCAGTCTACATGTTTAATATTCACACAACAAACTAAAGTCTGTCCCCAATGATTAATCGCTCCGTTCAATGCTTTTTGATTTTCATTTTTCAACAATTTAGTTGAACCCTCATATGAAATATATGTTTGTCTTCATATATAATCATCTTTTTTGATTTTCTTCAGCATTATGTTTTGGACTGACTGGGAAAACAGCATGCCTCGTATAGAATCAGCAACGATGAGTGGTATGAACAGATCTATTATCATAACGGTGGATAAACTGTCTGGAGGCTGGCCTAACGGGCTGACACTTGACTATGAAGAAGACCGAATACTTTGGATCGATGCCAGGTAACATGTGTTGTTGTTAGTGATAGTAATGGTTATATTACTGGTGGTATTTACTGTTATGGTGATATATTTGGTAGAGATGTTAAATTATTGTTCTGTGTTTGAATGTGGGTTCTTATGCATCATAATAATACTCATTAAAACTGATTTGGTGATTGTTTCCCTGTGCTAAATTCATTAAAACCGATTAATCAAGTACATAAAATTCACCTCATATCACCTTTTTTTTGCGAGCTAACGCCCCACCGACTTAATCATCAAGCTCCCCCATTTAACCTTTTCACCCCATCAGTCCCACCCCCAATTTTAAGACTCCAGGCCACATAATTTAAAAATTGGGACTCCTGATGTTGTTTATGGTGATGGTAATTTGCAATGAAGATAATGCCTGCGCTTACTAGATTTGTTAATGAATTCTTCCCCCTTAGATCTGATAGTATCCACTCAGCATTTTACAATGGCAGTGACATCAGGATCATACTGAAGGGACACAAGTTCTTGTACCATCCTTTTGCCATCACAATGTTTGAAGGTTACCTCTACTGGACTGACTGGAGGACTAACATGGTGTACAAGGCTAGGAAGTGGGATGGGAATGACCTACAAGCTGTACAGAAGACTCAGACCCAGCCATTTGATATCCACATTATACACCCACAGAGGCAACCGCAAGGTAACTTACAAGCTACTTCATTGGTCAATCATTAGTCATGTGAATTTTCTCCTTGGATTTATTTGTTGATTTTGTAATGCTGCAAAAAAATTGCCAGAATCTACATCCCAATAGAACCCAGCCATTCGATATCCACCTTATACACCCCTTGAGGCCACCGAGGGGTAAATTACAAGCTAATTCATTGGTCAGTCATTAGTCATGTGACTTTTCTCCACTACATTCGTTTGTTGACTTATTAAGATTGGGAAATAATTTGCTAGAATCTACTTACATGCGAGATTCCATATGTTATCCCAATAGAACCCAGCCATTCGATATACACCCCTTGAGACAACTGCAAGGTAAATTACAGGTCTCTTCATTGCTCAATCATTAGTCATGTGAGATTTCTCCACTACTTTCATTTGCTGATTTTGTAATGATGTAAAAGGATTGCCAGAATCTACTTACATATGAGATTCCATATGTTATCCCAATAAATCGCAATAGCGAATGACAGGATGAAGATGTTCCTACTAATTCCCCAGGGATTCCTCAAAATAGCATGGCGTGATGAATGTTGTACATGGATAGAACAGAAATCTTAGGATGTGTATGCACATGTGTTGGATGACGTATAGAAAGTGTAGGCATCCTGTAAAGGTAGCCATCAATTTGACTCACAATTGACTGTTATGCAGTACAAAATACGGCAGAATTTACCTAAAAAATAATGGAATTGTCCATCCCAAGCATTGTATGATAAATACGTTTAATGAGTTTGAATAAATCAACCTCATTTTTTCGGTTTGCTTACACGATATATTAAGAAGTGGATAGCTTACTAATGTGAATGAAGTGTTGCATCAAGTTTCTACGAATCGGAATTGGTCTGAAGAAAAAACGAGGTTAATTGCATTAAAGACATATTCATTATAATATACAATGCCTGGGATGGACAATTCCATTATATATATTCAAGGGAATTAAATCTATCAAAGGGGAAAGTATCTCGCGCATCACAGTGATAATTCATAGGCATAAACAGGGCACAAAATTTTGTAATTTTAAACATTTAATTTCCAAATATAGATCAATAGATTTTTAATCCTGTTTTCATTTGTATTTCCACATTTAGTAGCAAAGTTTGACAAAATTTTATAGTTTAAAATAGTTTTATACAAGTACTGATATTTTTTTGATAAACTAGCCACTTAAAAGCTGAATAAAAACACATGGTTGGATTTAGTATTGCTATTCAACAAGTTCAATGCACTATTAATTACTTCCATGTTGGTTAAGGGAAGTAATAGACTAGACGATATCTCTCTAAACGATTAATATCCATACACAAGTGTTCAGAGGTTTTCTGTAGTGGAATCGTTCTAGATAGTGTGAACTGTTTTACTGTTTATTGGAGACAGGAGATGTCAATCATAGTAATCGCTTGGAGGCAAATATAATCCTTACCAGTGCTTTTTAATGTATGGTAATAATTTCTCAATAAATACAATAAGTTAATATAGTACACATACCCATTTCAAAGAAATGCTCAAGACGCTTAATTAGTTATCAGTAACAGTATAGGTAACAAATAATTATGATGATAAGTATGAATGATATTTATAATTATCTCAGATGCTTTAGCTTAAATACTATCAAATAACTTAAATGTAGTTTTTTATAAACTTTCACAATATAATTACGAGTTAATTGTATCAAGAATATGGCCCAATGCCTGTAATTTTTTTAGTCTAACCTACTCATTTATCACCATAAATTTTAGTTTTATGCTTGAGAAGAAAAAAAAAGTGAAAAAGCTTTATTTTTTTGATGACTTAATAATCCATTTTAGAGGTTCTTGATAGCATCCGGTACCGTGCTCTCACCAGCGGATTTTTTTTTTACAACGGAACCCAGACTTGCGTGTTTTTACGTTACTGCCTGCTGTACATTGTCCAATTAGATCTCAACCAATATGCTTATAGGTACTACCAATCTAAATTCGGAATTCCATCACTTTCTCATGAACGCATCAACCTCCGTCGAGGACAATTTTTAGGTCATGTAACTCGCACAGACCCAACGCGACATCAAATCTCGTCCAAGTGCATCGTAGAGTGCTGCCTGAGTTGGTCTTAACCCCAACTGGATAGTGAATCAATTGGATTTCTTGTAAAGGATACCACACAACAGCTGCAGTAGTCTGCTCATTGTGGAAGTTGTTGTCACTACCAAACATCTTGCCCGCCATGGCCACCTTTATCTATATCCATTCATAAAATAAGCCATGCCCTGGTCATGATCCCTTTGTATTCCAAGGTTCAGGGCGATAGAGCTTAAATGATTATGGGATGGTTATATGAATAGATATCAAGCTATGATTTGATTGATATATCTTTATATAGGCTTGTGCTATTTAGAAGTTGGACCTCAGAGCTCAGTGGAGGTCCTAGTTACATATAATGTATTTTTGATATACTTAATATTCAGTAACATTGTTAAATTATAACTATTATGCAAAGTAATCATGTAAAAGATAAAATATAAGTCCATATTGGGAAGCTATTATATTTGTTTTGTTCATCTCCAAGCTAATATGTTAGCTGTAGTAAAACTGTTACCAAGTCTGAACGCTTCAAAAGTTGACACATTGAAAAATGTTATGTAAAACTGCTTTTTGCAATTGTTTGGTTTCCTAACCTCAAGGTCAGGGGTTTCAATACCTCTCTGTGCATTTCACTTGTGTAGATTTGAGCAAGGCAATTTATCTGCATTGTTTCTCTCCACCTCTGGAGTATAAGTGAGAACCTGTAGTGGTTAATGCCAAAATGCGCTGATGTAGCTGCTGCAACATTATGGAATACTCCCACAGGGAGCTTGAGTTTGTGTTCCGTAGGCGTTTAATCCAATGACCTGGGTAATGATAATGTGAAGCACATAGAGGGCTTATAGAGTCTACCATTATTATTATTTTTGTTTGATACCTGTTTGATTGATGTAATTGCTCATTTACATAATTAATATGTAGTAAATCATTAAAATTACAATGCTGCTATGCACTAATACATAATTTTTATTGTTCATTGTAGCTGAAAACCCATGTGCAAATGGTGCTGGGTGTTCCCATATTTGTCTCCTGAATGGAGTAGAGCCCGCATGTCTCTGTCCTCACATGATGAAACTTGGATCTGATATGAAAACCTGCGAAGGTAAGTCATCATTACCCCTGCCAAGGAGGTTATGTATTCACTGCTTGCTGTCTGTCTGTCTGCTGGTCTGTCTTTCTTTCTGTTAGCAAGATTACGCAAAAACTAATAAATGGGTCATCATAAAATTCAGTGGAATGGTACATAATATTCAAGGTCAGGGTCACTGAAATTAAATTTTTAACCCTCGAGCATAAAGGAAAATAATCATGGAATCGCCCTTAGCATGCAGGCAGCACTCAAAAAAACAATGTACCAGAATATGATGGGCAATTCCATTTTTTATTGAGGGTATTTTGCAGTTTTGCCCATCATAAACAACCTGTGTATTGTTGGTACTGTATTCAGGCACAGGGCAGAGGTATGAACTCTATGGAGTGAGTGCTCTAGTTTAAACATACACTGTATTCAATGTAAATGTAAATGTATATATGTGGTTATCGTTGAAATTTTACATTTATTATTGTAGATGACATAGCATTCCTTGTGATCCTAAAACCAACTGTGATTCGTGGTGTTGATCTGAGTGATGGGGATTTCAGCGTGATTCCATCGTGGACGCTTCCGCGCATACTCAACGTCAGTTCCATAACGTTCTCCTCCAGTGAGGGCAGATTCTACTGGGTTGATGTTAACAGGAAGACAATAAGTAAAGCTTTCATTAATGGAACCGGTCTTGAGACTGTTGTAGCGGGTATGTACACTGCAACAGAGTAGCATAGCTCAGTCGGCTGGTTTTAGCCTCTCAGTTGTAGAACGAAGGGGCCTGAGGACTCTGGCATGGCCTCATCTGGGGCTGGTGGCTGCAGAGGGCCTCGTTTCGGTCTGGGGGCCAGCCGCTTCAGCGTTTTTAGTGTTCTGTGACGTATTTTAATTACCTTTCTACACATCTGGGTTCGAAGTTTAGGCCTATGTATCGTGATTTGAACCAAAAAATCATACTTAATTTTAACTAGATAGGCCCATCACTATGAAACATATTACAATAATTACCAAACAAAAAGAGCCAATTAAAATCAATAAATATTTATGGACCTGGCGATAGTGATAATAATAAATATATCCCAATCACTCGGCAGACTGGTTATTTGTTTGTAAAAAAATATTTGAATTTGCTGAGGCTCCGGGGCCCCTGGCTTTATAGCCAGTGAGAGCTCATAACCGTTCCACTGGCCTCTGTGTGTGCACTGAACCGTGAAGATCCTTTGGTATCTGGATCATTTCCATCCACCACTCTTCTTGTGTTTTTAAATGACGAACCCCACTGGAAGTAAATCACTATGAAAATGTTCCATAAGAATACTTCTAACTTTAAGAATGAGGGCCAAGGATTTGCCAAACAACAAACTTACTACTTTTTTAAGTGGCTATTTCTTCACAATACAAACATACACAAGATGCTTTACATTACTTTACATTAGTCCCATCACAAGATTTGGAGATGGAGTTGTTTTGGGCGTGAGAACAACTCCTGTTACCATTAACACTCAGGCCTTTTTTTTAAAAAACAATCCTGTTGTTAGCCAGCCTGCATTCGCAACATATAATATGTATCTAACTTTCATGTACCATTTATATTTCAAAATTCTTATTGTAGGCGTTATGGGCGGTACAAGTATTGCTTTAGACTGGATCACGGGTAATATCATGTGGACCAGTAATGGCATCAACAAGGGACAGATCAACGTGGCCAAGCAGGATGGTAGTTACAGAAATGTTGTTCTCGGTGGCTTAGAAAAGCCGACCAGTCTCGTACTACAACCTTCAAAAGGGTATGCTCAATGGCATTAATCTTCTGCCATCACACATGTTTATCATTCTCTTATTTTCTCAAGCTTGATTTTTATCTGTTTTTCTTTTTTTTTTTCTCCCCTTTTCATTTCTAGTTGTCAAGTGTTTTTAGTCTTACTATTTATTTATTGTTTATTTTTTTGGTTTATATAGTGCCTTTCTTTGTAGATACAAATCACTTATTTTCATGGTTATTGGGTCCACATGCATAAGTGTTGCAACACACTAGTTACCCACTTGTACTCCTGGGTGGAGATATGTAAATCCCTTGTAAATGCACAGTGAGAGGTTGAAACCCTGACTTTGAGTATTGGGAAACCAGACGTTTCCGCTGTGCCAAACAGCTTTAATTGTTTCTTTCCGTTCTGTCTTCTGTGAAATATTCTGTGACATATTTTGACAAAACCCAGACAAATGCACAAGTTAATATTTTGAGAAAAATAATGTTTTGAGACTGTCACACATTCAAATAAATGATATTATCTTTTGGTGTGGTATGGGATGTAATTGTCAGTGTATTTTAGTGTATTTTAATAAAAGTGTTATTGTTTTTTTCTTAGAAAAATGTACTGGATAAGTAATGGAACTATAGAGCAGTCAACAATGAATGGAACTGAAAGAAGCACGCTAATAGGCAATCTTAAAAATCCGACAAGTATGTTTATCATGTAGTCCATCTCGATAGTGTACATAAAATAGAATGTGGGGTTCTTCTTTAGCAAATTAAAAATCATGATGCATTTGTGAATATTAATTACATAATTTTATCTATTTGGTTTTACAAATTCCACCAATGAAATCCCATCCCAGTTACATGACCAAGTCCACATCTTTTTCACCCAAACATTGATTATGTAGTATGCTGTCATTAATCAGTTTGGTCTTTTTTATCAATATTTTTGGAACGTTATTTAGAGTGTCTACAAAAGTAGCACATATGACATTCTAATTCTATTAATAACAATGTTGTATTTTGTAGGCATTGCTCTGAGCAGGGACGGACTCAAGTTATATTGGGCAGACAGCAGTAAAATCGGTGTCTACGCTCTCAAAGACGATAGCCAATCCATCTTTTACACGCTTGACAATAACACTACCGTAATTGCTCTGGCTGCCCATGAAGATTTCCTCTTTTTCGCCGACAATGCAAGTAGTGTATTTTCTGTAACATATGCAGAAAAAACAGTGAAAACAATTAAGGAAGATTATTCAGGTGTTAATGAACTCCTTGTCTATGACCAAAATGCACAACCATGTGAGTTTCTGTCATTTCATAAAATATACATTTCTGTTAAATATACCTTGTATAAGGATCCTTTTGATTATCAGATTATCATTGAAGTTTTCACTGTGATTAAGTTACCTCAGCCTTCAAAAAATGAATATTTAGCAAACCTGTTTAATTAGTATACCATTAGTATTTGAAGGTTAAGGCATTTAACAAACAATAGTTAAATATGATGTATACTTTCAAGAATGATTGCAGCATTTTTTGGTTAATATATACTGTAAGAGCAAGAGCTGTTTAAGTAATATCCTTTTATATTTGTATATAATATTAATGTAGGAATTTATAGTGTGCTTTTTGCTAAAGGTTAAAAGGTGCTTGTGATACTAGAAGCATGTAGCGCAGCTTATAAGGTATTGAGCCTTCATTCGTAAAGGTGTGGGTTCGAGACCGATGCTTATCATACTTATCATACTGCTTGTGTCCTTGGATAAGACACTTTATATCTGCATTTGCCTCTCTTCACTCATTAGTATAAGTAGGTACTTGGTAGGAGGTGGATTGGCAAACTGGCGCAAAGTGGTCTCTGTTTCCTGGGACCTCTGTACAATTGCAGAGTAAGGGATTTTGAAGTACAGTATATCCACAGTGCCAAAATAAAATGCAGAATATAGTACGGACAGTGTGTTTGTTAATGTGCCTTCACCTTTATACTCATTGTTAACTTGGTGGCCTATTAATAGATTCGGTGCCGGGTTGTATGTACCCACCCCACAGTCTATGACAATGAACCTTATCCCGAATCAAGAAATATCAACAGAACTTGCGCCAAAACAAAGCATGATGGGACTGGAAAGGAGGCAGAAAACAGCAACAAAACACACAATGTTTCCTAATAATGGCTAACGTAAATAAAATTCAGCGTCTTTTTTAAAGAAATAAACTGATTAATAGTTAGATGACACCACACCACCACCGTGGTTGCATGAGAAATCAAGCGGCGCTATTGCCCCTTTTCAACCCCATCATGCATCGACTTTGATTCGCAATAACTTTATTTGACAAGTTCAGTTTACCATTAATATGTTGTATTTCCCCGTTACTCAGCGTCCACAAATGCCTGCTCCAAATCGGACTGCCAACAGATGTGTTTGCCATTATCAGAGACCGAAAAGACATGTCTATGCACTGCAGGGTATGTGCTTGACTCAAAGCAACGGAGCTGTAATGGTGAGTGAGATATATATAAAAAATTATTCTTTCATAATATGTACCAAATTTCAATATGGCACTTATGTTTGCAGTGTTTATTGGACCTTGAACAATAATGTGACTGTTAATGAAATGTATAGTTTTTCTCATACTTGTTTTTTTTTTTTTTTATCAGGTATCAATTCATTTTTATTGTACTCTGTGGACAGCAGTATTCAAGGCTTATCCCTATCTGGTGACTCTTCAGAGCAGGCACTTACACCAATTACAGGAACAGCATTGAGTGTTTCCATAGATTTTGACTACAGTAAGTATTTTAAAAACGTACAGAGTGAATTTTTAATCTTTATTATTTGCTGCGTGAGTTTAATGTTTTTACTGCTACTTCACTTGGAACACACGTGGGCATAGTGCAGCCTACATGCCACGTGCGGCTCGAAGGAGATTTTGTTGCGGCCTACAAAAATAAACCACCTTTGGCTAAAAAACCCTTATTTTTTTAACTGCCTGACACCGATCATCTAAAAAGTAATATTTTAACTGAGCTGAAACAGTATAAAACCAGTCCATGAACGTTTTTGGGATCACACGGGAAACATCAAAGTTCAGGTGCGACATCAGTGTTAAATAAAAAATTATTCTTGATCTTGTGCTAGGTAAATTCATATATATATATAGTATATATATATTGACAAAACAAGATTTTTGACAATGATGAAAGTATTGTTTCCTGTCTTTTGTCTGATATTGAATTTGTAATCATTTGACCATTTTGATATCATTGGTGTTACATCTTAGTTTCTAGACTGCCTAAGTATTAACTATGATTTTGTGATTGCAGAGAGTGATTATATCTACTGGGTTGATACAGCGACCAGCAAGATCCGTCGCATCAAACGTGACCTGTCAGGACGTGAAGGCATAATCACCGATGGCTTAGGACGTGTTGAAGGCATTGCATTTGATTGGATAGCTAGTGAGAATGATTCATCTATATGATTAGTACAATAATAATAATAGTCTATATTGTGGATATTTACATGGATAAACCAACTAATTGACATTTTTCTTTGAAGAACACCCTTATGACAAAGTTGTAAACCATTCCAAGAATTGGGATAAATAGCAACCAACTCGAATAAGACAAGAATTTAGATCTTAAAGTTGAACACAATGTCCACTAGAGAAGTAAATATAAATATGTAGTTCTACTACAATCCTTTACATACTTACATTCAGCCTGGTTTCCTTAAAATTGCTACAGTGTTTTTCATGCAGTCGTACTGTGTAACATTCCCCGACGCAATCGGGAAGGCTCCCCAATTTGACTGACCAATCAGCATCGCCGATAGCGTGTAGAGATTGTACGGAAACCAATGCTTAAGAGTGATGAGAAACAAATTTATATACACATAGTGCAAACATTAGTAAATTTGTGTGAAGGCAAACTTTTATATAGTAACAATTTCATGTCTTATTGTTATGCTTACTTTTGTTTCATTCTAGACAACTTGTACTGGACGGATCAGCAGCTTGACCTTATTGAGGTTGCCAGTGCCAACGGATCTCATCGTTATGTTTTGATATCGGACAACTTGGAGAAGCCTAGATCAATTGCTGTGTATCCACAGAAGGGGTAGGTCATTCAAGAGGAGGGTTGAATATTATTGAGAGGAGGATTGGGTGGTCAAGTGGGAAAGGAAGGGGTTGAAATCATTCATATGGTTGAAGGGTGGAAGGTGCTCATGAAAGGATGTAAGCCATTCAGGAAAAGATGGGTAAAAATCATTTATGAGAAGTTATTAGAGAGGATTAAAAGTATTTTATTTTAATCCGAAGATTGTATTTTTATATCTGAAAATGTTCTTGTCTATACCACCTGATGTTGTTTATCTTGCTTGTTTGTTGTTGTTGTAAGCAACAACATCAATAAATTTCAATTTGTTTTTCATATGCTTTTATTTCTAGATTATTGTTTTGGTCAGACTGGGGCAGAAATCCCAAAATTGAAAGGAGTACATTAGCAGGTACTGCTCGTAAGGTACTTGTAAACACGAGCATTTCGTGGCCAAATGGCATTACGATTGACTATGAGATGAACCACGTCTACTGGTGCGAAGCACAGTTCAACAAGATTGAAAGGATCAAAATCGATGGGACTGGACGGTACATTGTTGTTGAAGCTGGACTCCAAGATCCGTTCTCCATCACCATATTAGATGACATGATGTACTGGACAGACAGGTGGGCATCATTTCTGCTTATGAGGCAGTTTTTTTTTGTTTTTTTTTTATAGTTCAGCGCTAGCCCTCACTAATTTTAATGAAAAAACAATTTTAAATGTATATGAATTAGAAAGACCCTCCAATTAAAGACCACTCTTCTGTGGTCCCTAATTCAAAAATGTCTTTTATCTTTATTTTTCTAATTAGAGACCAAAGCTGCTAAAGTGCTTGAAAACCCCAGTCCCAAATTTGGTCTTTAATAGGAGGCAGACCTGTATATTTTATAATTTCTAATCAGATGTTGAAATTTTATTTTTAAAATTTAAAGTACTAAATGATTAATAAAGATATATGTTTGGTTTCAGAACTCATGAAGGTGGCTCTATAAGGAAAGCAAACAAGACAACGGGTAACGACACAGTTTTGTTGCGGAAGAATATCGGCATCCAAATTAAAGATATTCATGCATTCCATAAGAGCAAACAAACAGGTGAGCATTAAATGGTTGCTCAATAAGAAGATATGGTCTTTTACATACATTAATACAGTGGTTCCCAATCTGGGTGCCACAAAAAATAATTGGGTCCGCTAAAGTCAAAAGGGTTTGCAGGTTTGTGAAAGATTTTGGGGTCGGCGAGATTTTATTTTAAGACCTTTCTCATGATTATATTATTTTTCTCGTCTTACAACACTGTGATGAACATCTTACTGCTAATCATTAAGAGCTTTATCAATAAATAAAATTTTGATGTACTATGGTCGCAAATCAGCTTCTATCTATAATCTTATCATCCCATTGGTATACATCCCTGTGGAGAGGTCCGTGAATGCACAATAATTAAGTTTACTGTAGCTTGGCATAGCATAATTTTCCAGAAAAAAAAATGTCTTGCAATAAAGTATGTTAGACCAATCAGTGACTGATCACCAAATCAAACTGCAACCGTTGCAGAGTGATGATCGTTGTTGCATGATGTGTACGTATAATGCATGCCCCATTCGTGTATTATGTTAATCAAACTTTATTCCGCATACAGTGGTTAACACCAGTTTAACCAATTGTTCTATGCTGCCTTGATTATCATTGTATATTAACTTTTTTTTTTCTAAGGCACAAATAATTGTTCTGCCTTGATTAATCCATGTGAACAGCTGTGCTTCTACGTTGGTGATCAACATTTCCAGTGTGCATGTGCCTATGGTGTCCTCAATGATGACGGAAGAACTTGCAGAAGTGAGTTATAAACTAGATTTGAACTCGTCACTGAGGACGAATTCGGTGATCCGCCGTACTTTGACCCTCAGGAAGCGCGCGCGGTGCTGATTGAAAAGTTTCATAATATGCTAACATATGCTGTAATTACTTTTAAAAAAAAGAATAATTTTTAGCATTTTAAAAGACTTACGCATGCGTACACGCACGTCTTGACGCCCGTAAGCACGGAAATGTCACAAAGAGTGACTCCTGACTCTGTCAGGAACACAAAATATGTAAC